ACAGGAGGAACTTTTGAAGCTTCCCTCTCCCTCTGTTGTTGACTGTTGGTGTGATAAAACAAACAACAACTATAAAACTTGCATCAGACATGCGAAAATAATTACGAAATAATAACGAAATAATAACGAAATAATTACGAAATATTTACGAAATATTTACGAAATAAATTGAAAAAATGGTTTCGAATCTAATTTACTCCTCACACTATTCCTGCATGGCTCAATATTGGATCGTAAGCTAATTTAAATACAAATTAATAACGAATTACGAAATTAACGAACGAAACCGCCCAGGCCTACTAGAGAGCACTGTGGACTCAAACAATGATGGATCTGGACCAAACTTGGCAGAGATCCTCAATATGCCCAAATGTGAACACTGGTGGAGTTTGGGGAGATGAGACTTGACATTTGGGAATTGTAGTTGTTGGGATTTATAGTTCACTTACAATCAAATTGCATTATGAACCCCACCAACGATAGAATTGGGCCAAACTTCCCACACAGAACTGCCATGACCAACAGAAAATACTGGTTCTGATGGTCTTTGGTGACCCCTCTGACACCCCCTCGCAACCCCCCCAGGAATCCCGACCCCCAGGTTGAGAAACACTGCTCTAGATTGCTCCATGAATTGAGTCAAGTCAAGAGAATGGCTTTGGAGAAAGCCTAGAGATGGAGCAGAACATAGCAAAAGGTAGAGGAACCAAACAGGCTTTGCAAAAGGCTGGGAATTAGGTACTAGTTGTCCCATTCCCCTGTAAAACTTGGCAATGCATCATTCTTTTCGCTTTGAAAAGCATGTCGAGTCCACCCAAAGTCCATTATGTGCTGCAGACCATCTAGACCAGGGGTCCTCCAAATAAGGCCTGGGGGCCGGATGCGGCCCGCCAAGGTAAACATAGAATTATAGAATCGAGTTGGAAGAGACCTTGTGGGCCATCCAGTCCAACCCCCTGCCAAGAAACTGGAATATTGCATTCAAAGCACCCCTGATAGATGGCCATCTAGCCTCTGTTGAAAAACCTCCAAAGAAGGAGCCTCCACCACACTCTGGGGCAGAGAGTTCCATTGCTGAACGGCTCTCACAGTCAGGAAGTTCCTCCTAATGTTCAGATGGAATCTCCTGTCTTGTAGTTTAAAGCCATTGTTCCTTGTCCTAATCTCCATGGAAGTAGTAAACAAGCTTGCTCCCGCCTCCCTGTGGCTTCCTCTCACATATTTATACATGGCTATCATATCTCCTCTCAGCCTTCTCTTCTTCAGGCTAAACATGCCCAGCTCTTTGAGCCGCTCCTCATAGGGCTTGTTCTCCAGACCCTTGATCATTTTAGTCGCCCTCCTCTGGACACATTCCAGCTTGTCAATATCTCTCTTCATTTGTGGTGCCCAGAATTGGACACAATATTCCAGGTGTGATCTAACCAACTCTTGCTACATTTCGAATAGACTACCACAACACGCTCTATGTGGGGCTGCCTTTGAAGACTGTTTGGAAGCTCCAAGTAGTCCAATGGGCAGCAGCCAGATTCCTCACTGGGGTGGCGTACAGGCAGTACCTTGGGAAGTCTGACTAGGCCACGGTGGTCCATGCTCTGGTTACATCCCAAATAGACTACTGCAATGCACTCTACATGGGCTGCCTCTGAAGACTGCCTGGAAGCTTCAACTAGTCCAATGCTCGGCAGCCAGGTTGCTCACCGGAGCTGGGTACAGGGACCATACGACGTCCCTGCTACACCAGCTCCATTGTCTGCCTATTAGCTTCCGAGCACAATTCATAGTGCTGGCTTTGGCCTATAAAGCCCTGAACGGTTCTGGCCCAGTTTACTTGTCTGAATGTATCTCCCGCTATAATCCACCTAGGGCCCTAAGATCAACTGGGGAGTCCCTGCTCATTGTCCCCCCATTATCACAATCACGGTTGGTGGGGACAAGGGACAGAGCCTTTTCTGTGGTGGCTCCTCGACTGTGGAACACCCTCCCAAGCGATATCAGATCTGCCTCATCCCTCCTGACCTTTCGGAAACAAGTGACGTCCCGGCAATGGGATTAGGCTGACCTGCTGGCACGACGGCTTAATCTCCATGGACGCATAAAATAAGCTTGCTCCCTCCTCCCTGTGGCTTCCTCTCACATATTTATACATGGCTATCATATCTCCTCTCATCCTTCTCTTCTTCAGGCTAAACATGCCCACTCCTTAAGCCGCTCCTCATAGGGCTTGTTCTCCAGACCCTTGATCATTTTAGTTGCCCTCCTCTGGACAGCGACTACACAATTGAAGAGCTTGTCAACATCTCTCTTCAATTGTGGTGCCCAGACCACAACCTAAGTCTGAAACGACTTGAAAGCACACAACAACAACAATCCGATCTCAGCAGCCAAAAGCAGGCCCCATTAAAATACTAATAAGTTTAAGGTAAAGATAAAGGTTGTCCCCTGACATTAAGTCCAGTCATATCTGACTCTGGGGTGTGGTGCTCATCTCCATTTCTAAGCCGAAGAGCCGGCGTTGTCCATAGACACCTCCAAGGTCATGTGGCCAGCATGACTGCATGGAGCGCATAGTACTATATTGTACTACACCATTATATTGTAATATTATTAGTAATATGACATGTAAGCCGAAGAGCCAGCGTTGTCCATAGACACCTCCAAGGTCATGTGGCCAGCATGACTGCATGGAGCGCCGTTACCTTCCCGCCGGAGCGGTACCTATTGATCTACTCACATTTGCATGTTTTCAAACTGCTAGGTTGGCAGAAGCTAGGGCTGACAGCGGAAGCTCACGCCGCTCCCTGGAATCGAACCTGCGACCTTTCGATCAACAAGCTCAGCAGCTCAGTGCTTTAACCCACTGCGGCACCGGGGGCCATAACTAATAAGTTTATATTTGTTAAAATTGTTCTTTTTAATTATTGTATTGCTTTTAGGAGTTTTTTTGCACTACAAATAAGATATGTCCAATTTGCATAGGCATTCATTAATGCTTTCTTCAAATTATAATCTGGCCCTCCAACAGGTTGAGGCACTGTGACCTGGCCCTCTGTTTAAAAAGTTTAATCTAGACCAGTGGTTCTCAACCTTCCTAATGCCACGACCCCCTTAATACGCTTCCTCATGTTATGGTGACCCCCAACCATAAAATTAGTTTCATTGCTACTTCATAACTGTCATTTTGCTGCTGTTATGAATAGTAATGTAAATATCTGATATGCAGGATGTATTTTCATACACTGGACCAAATTTGGCACAAATACTCAATACACCCAAATTTGAATACTGGTGGGATTGGGGGAGGGTATTGATTTTGTCCTGTGGGAGTTGGGTATTGCTGGGATTTATAGTTCACCTACAATCAAAGAGCATTCCGAATCCCAACGATGGAATTGAACCAAACTTGGCACACAGTTCTCCCATGACAAACAGAAAATACTGGAAGGATTTGGTGGACATTGACCTTGATTTTGGGAGTTGTAGTTCACCTATATCCAAAGAGCACTGTGGACTCAAACAATGATGGATCTGGACCAAACTTGGCATGAATTCTCAATATGCCCAAATATGAACACTGGTGGAGTTTGGGGAAAATAGACCTTGACATTTGGGAGTTGTAGTTGCTGGGATTTATAGTTCACCTACAATCAAAGAGCATTCTGGACCCTACCAACGATTGAATTGGGCCAAACTTCCCACACAGAACCTCCATGACCAACAGAAAATACTGTGTTTTTTGGTGGTCTTTGGTGACCCCTCTGACACCCCCTTGCGACCCCTCCAGGGGTCCCGACCCCCAGGTTGAGAAACACTGATCTAGACCAAGACCTAAATGCACAACTCCTTCCCCAACTCCAGATCCGAGGACCAATTTTTGCATGCATCGTGTCACAAGCGTCGGTCACGCCGCCCTTTATGTGCCCCCGCCTGCGTATCGTGTACAACAAAGGCAGACGCAAGAGAGCACACACTACAGGGTCGATATAGCCAAGTATTCATTTATTAACAAAATAAGACTTACCAGAAGGGAGCTCATCCACCCCAAATGGTCCGCAGCCTTCCATGCTGCGATAGACTGAGGACTGGGGGAGATGGGGCTCCAAACCCTAACACAGAAATTGGGCGGTGGAGGCCATTGGGAGGGTAAGGTGACGGGAGGGTTGCTTTGTTTAGGTTTGTTGTCGTTTTTTTGGTATTTAGATCGGAGCCTACAGTCGAGGGGTGCGTACCCCTCATGGGCGAGCTAGACTCGTGTCAAAGAATCCCAAGACGGAGCTAAGCTAAGCAAAGGTTCTTCCCCAGGTATTCTTTCGGTGCGCGAGAAAAAGTCCTTCGAGAACGTTCGCCGATTCCTTAAAATTAAAAATCCAGGGGGGAAAAAATTAAAAAAATGGCGGAATGCCCCTCTTTCTGGGTATACGTTGTCCTCAGCAAGATCCAGGTAACAAGGATGTTCAATATGTGTTATCACCTTGTTTTCTCTTTCTAGCACATCTGCGACAGTGTGGCATCTTTACGGAAGAGAGCGGAGATGGGATTTGAAGGGAGTCCAAGTGATCCAGGCTTGCACCCCAACGTCAAAGCCGTGCGTGCAATGCGCCTCACTGCATGCAATGCTGGCTGCGCGCTCTTTGGGTCTTGGAACAAAGCTGAGGGCGTCTCCCGTTTTGACACGACCCCCCATCACCACCCTCTCCTTAGAACATAATACACCAAAAGGGGAGGGAAAAACAGAACGAAAGAAAGGACAAAAGAAAGAAAGAAAGAGAAATTACATTTCTGGTAACTGTACAAAAGGAAGAGAAATTTGATTCTTTTTTTTTTTTGGTAAGTAAAAAAAATGCGTTTTGTTGCCCCTCATGCAAAAAAAAAAAAACAGTTCGTGGGCATTTAAGGAGGGAAATATTGTTTCTAAAACAATTTTAAAAAAAGAAAAGAAAACACCATTCAGAGCTGAAGCCCCCAAACCCGGAAAATGCAAAGAAAAATAATCGGTCGGGTATTTTGTTCATTTGTTTGGACAGACTTTTGTTTTTGTTTTTTTTGCATACTATGGATTCATTGGTGTATTAATGCACTTATATTCCCAGCTTTTTTTCTCCTTTAAGCTAAAACATACAGTCAATAAATACAAAGTCTGGGTACGGGACAGAACTAAGGGAGAGGCGATGGGGAGGAGTGGGGCTGGAGTTACTGGTATCCAAGGGCAGAGGCTGAGGTGAGTCTTTGGCCATAAAGGGCATACGGAGAGTAGTAGGGTCCGGCGGCGGTGACGGGCAAAGAGGGCACCGGCAGTGCCCCAGAGGCTGGCAAATGGCTCTTGCCGTAAGGATGGTACCGGCTGAGTCCCAAGGTGTGTGGGCTCCTCAAGGACAGGGAGCCGGGCAAAGAGCCAGGGCTGCCTGGGGCGGTGGGTGGAAGGTGAAGGTGGCACGAGGAGCCCAAGGCGGAGGTAGAGTAGCCCGCTAAGAGTTTCTCTGCCCCGGGCAGAGCGGTGTGGGTCCGTAAGTGGGCCAGCAACTCCTCGGAGGAGGCGAAGCGCTTGTCGCACGGCCCGCTGGCCGAGACCCAGTTGCATATGTGGCTGAGGGCCTCGTTCTGGATCATGAAGCCGTAGGTGTAGAGCGGGTGGCTCGGCAAGCTGGGGCTGGCGCTGGAGGAGAGGGCACCATGGAGCGGGTGCCCGGGGTAGACCAAAGGGTAGCTGCTCTTGAGAGGGCCCGAAGGGTCGTGCAGGCAGCTGGAGCAGTTGGCGCCCAACGGGGAGGCGCTGTGGTAGCCCAAGCAGTAGGGATCCCGGCACAGACCCTGCAGGAAAGAGGGTGGCGAGGCTCCCGTCAAGGGGCTGGAGCTGGGCGGCTTCCCCGGCAGTCCCAGCGCCCCGCTCACCTTGGAAGGGTCCAAGGCGGGCACAAACTGGGACGGATACCCAGCATAGGCCCCTACTACAGAACCATGGTATCCCAGGCTGGAGGGGGGCAGTGGGAAGACCGAGTGGCCCGTCTTGTAGGGGGAAACTGGGGCCACATGCCCTCCACCTCCTCCTGTGCCTCCTCCTCCCAGCGAGGGGGGTGCAGGGGGCTCCGACTTGCGCCCAGAGATGTTGTCGTTGCCCTCGTTGCCCTGTCCCCCATCAGGGCTGGCCTTGGCTGCCACTTCGGCCTCCTTCCTCTCTTCGGCGGCTTTGTTTTCCGTCGGCTGCTGCTGTTGCTGTTGCGGAGAGCTGCCTCGAGAGCCTCCAGGAGAGGCAGCAAGACCTTGAGGCGACGGGAAGTTCGGGCAGGTAGCACCGGCAGGAAGGCGGAAGCCACTCTTCTCAGGACCCCCAGAGACCTCCTTGCGTGGATCCCCACCGCCGCCTCCTCCTCCACCACCACCACCACCTCCTTTAGCATAAGGCTTGAAGCTGGACTTGTCTTCGACGGGCGGCTCGGGCACAGGCTTTCCTCCGGAGGAGCGTCCGCAGGACTCCTTTTCCGGCACCGAAGAGGAAGCGCCACCACTAGCCTTTGGGGGAGGGGGGTCCGGCTTTCCGATCTGCGAGCAGGTCTGTGCCAGCAGCGCCAGGGGGCTCTTCTTGGCGTCCAGCTGCGGAGAGGAGAGGGACAGAGAGAGAGAAAAAAGGAAACATGGAATCAGAGAGTCGGGAGAGACCTCCTGGGCCATCCAGCCCAACCCCATTCGACCAAGAAGCAAGGAGAGCAGCATTCAAAGAAGGGTCAGGCCAGGCCAGGACAACCCCCTTCCCATGCCAAATAAATACAAATGGGAACCTGCCCCCCCCTTCTCCAGCCTCCACCAAGTTCATGAGCCCCTTCTTTTCCCTTCCCCGGAAGAAGCAGGGAATTGAAGCTAAGCGAAGGGAAGGAGGGAAAGAAGGGAAGGAGGGAAAGAAAGGCAAAGGAATAATAATAATAATAATAATAATAATAATAGTTATTTATTTATATACTGCTCTATCTCCCTGAGGGGGACTCAGAGCAATTTCCAAAGGAAGGAAGGATGGAAGGGAAGGAGAGGAAGGAAGGGAGGGAAGGAAAGGCAAAGGAATAATAATAATAAACAAAACTTTATTTATATACTGCTCTATCTCCCTGAGGGAGACTCAGGGTGGTTTCTAAAGGAAGGAAGGATGGAAGGGAAGGGGAAGGAAGGAAGGAAAGGAGGGAGGGAAAAGGAAGGAAGGGAAGAAAGGGGAAAGGAAGGGAAGCAAAGGGAAGGAAAAGGAAGGCAAAGGAATAATAATAATAATAATAATAATAATAATAAACAAAACGTTATTTATATACTGCTCTATCTCCCTGAGGGGGACTTGGGGCAATTTCCAAAGGAAGGAAGGGAGGAAGGAAGGGGAGAGGGAGGAAGGGAAGGGAAAGAAAATAAGGAAAGGGAAGGAAAGGAAAGGAGGGAAGAAAGGGGAAGGAAGGGAAGGAAAGGAAGGGAAAGGAAGGGAAAGGAAAGGAGGGAAGAAAGGGGAAACGAAGTGAAAGGAAGGAAAAGAAAGGAAGCAAAGGGGAGGAAAAGGAAAGAAGGGAAAGGAAAGGAAGGGGAGGAAAGAAAAAAGGAAGAAGGGGAAGGAAAAAGGAAGGAAAGGGAAGGAAGGGAAGGGAAAGGAGGAGGAAAAGAGAAAGGAAGGGAAAAGAAGGAAGGGAAAGGAAAGGAAGCAAAGGGGAGGAAGGGAAAAGAAAGGAAGCAAGGGGAAGGAAAAGGAAAGAAGGGAAAGGGAAGGAAGGGAAAGGAAAGGAAAGGAGGGAAGAAAAGGGAAAGGAAGGGAAAAGAAGGAAGGGAAAGGAAAGAAGGGAAAGGAAGGAAAGAAAGAAGGGAAGAAGGGGGAAAGGAAAAGGAAAAGGAAAGGGAGAAGAAAAGGGAAAGGAAGGGAACGGAAAGAAGGGAAAGTAAGGAAAGGAAGGGAAAAGAAAGGAAGGGAAGCAAGGGAAAGGAAAAGAAAAGAAGGGAAAGGAAAAGGGACGCTAGCTCCGCCAAAGGCCGAAATCGGCTCCCCTCCTCCTTGGCCGCAGCTCCCGCTCTCCCCGCGTCCTTGCCCCGCTTCCAGGGCGCATCTACACTAGACTGTAGACGGCCCGCCGTGTGTCCCGTGTGCTGTGCCAATACGCCCTGCCTTCCCCTCCGGGAGTGGGGAAAGACTCGTCCCGGGCGGGCCGCGTTCCCTCTCCTGGTGGTGCGAGCCAAGGCGCAGGAGTGGATGCCCCCCCCCCCCACACACACTCTTACCTCGATGGGGCTGACGGGGGCGGAGGAGAGGGGCTGCAGGTACTCCGGGTGCAGGAGGTGTCCTCCGTGGGCGCTCAGCATCTTCAGCACCCGGATGGGCAGCCGCTGGGCTTGGCGGAAAGGGTCCCCGGGGGGCAGGAGCAGGAGGAACGCGGGCGGGGAGGAGGAGGAGGAGGAGAGCGGCACAGGGCGAGGGCTGACGCTTGTGTTGTCGGCTCCGCTGCCGGGTGAGCTCCGTGCTTGAGGTCCAGCGGGCGAGGCGTTGCTCATTTGGAGAAGAGGAAGCAGGAGGAGGAGGGCGAGGGGAGGTGGCCACGATCCCGCGGGGCGCCTCCACGCCGCACCCCGAAGCCTTAGAGCCGATGCCCGTCCCTCCGCTCGCGCCCGCAGCCCCGCGTCAAATAGCTGCCGCGCCGCAGAACACTTCAAAGGCACCGGCCCGGCCCGCCAATCGGGGACGCGCCAGGGAGAGAAGGGGCGGGGCCAGAGCGGGAGGGGGCGGGGCCATGGCTGGAGGGGGCGGGGCTTAGCAGCCTTCTTTGCCTCTCTCTCTCTCTCTCTCTCTCTCTCTCTCTCTCTCTCTCCTCTCTCTCCTCCCTCTCTCTCTCCTCCCTCTCTCTCCTCCCTCTCTCTCTCTCCTTTCTCTCTCTCCTCTCTCTCCTCCTCTCTCTCTTCCTCTCTCTCTCTCTCCACTCTCTCTCCTCTCTCTCTCTCTTCTCTCTCTCCTCCCTCTCTCTCTCCTCTCTCTCTCTCCTCCCTCTCTCTCCTCCCTCTCTCTCTCTCCTCTCTCTCTCCCTCTCTCCTCTCTCTCTCCCTCTCCCTCTTCTCTCTCTCCTCTCTCCTCTCTTCTCTCTCTCTCTCTCTCTCTTCTCTCCTCTCTCCTCTCTCTCTCTCTCTCTCTCTCTCCTCTCTTTCTCTCTCCTCCCCTTCCCTTCGTTTCTGTCAGGCCTGGACAAACTTCAGCCCTCCCACAATTCCTAACACTGTCTGGACATTTCCCAGAAGCATTCTCTCCTGAAGTTTCGCCCACATCTGTGGCAGGCATCCTCAGAGGTTATGAGGTCTGCTCGAAACTAGGAAAAAAGGTTTATATATCTGTCCAGGGTGGGAGAAAGAACTCTTGTCTGCATTGAATAGCCTTGCAGGTACAAAGTCAATCAGTGAGGGTATCTGCATAGAGTTCTGTTGTAAATGAGGCAAGTGGACTGTCTCTCTCTCTCTCTATATATATGTGGTATTATGTCCAGGGTGGAAGAAAGAACACTTGTCTGCTTGAGGCAAGTGTGAATGTTGCAATTGGCCGCCTTGAATAGCATTGAATAGCCTTGCAGGTGCAAAGTCAATCAGTGAGGGTATCTGCATAGAGTTCTGTTGTAAATGAGACAAGTGGACTGTCTCTCTCTCTATATATATCTATCTATCTGTGGAATGATGTTCAGGGTGGGAGAAAGAACTCTTGTCTGCTTGTGGCAAGTGTGAATGTTGCAATTGGCCACCTTGAATAGCATTGAATGGCCTTTCAGCTTCAAAGCCAATCAGTGAGGGTATCTGCATAGAGGTCTGTTGGAAATGAGGCAAGTGGACTGTCTATCTATCTATCTACCTCGGTGGAATGATGTCTAGTGTGGGAGAAAGAACTCTTGTCTGCTTGAGGCAAGTGTGAATGTTGCAATTGGCCACCTTGAATAGCATTGAATGTCCTTGCAGGTGCAAAGTCAATCAGTGAGGGTATCTGCATAGAGTTCTGTTGTAAATGAGAAAGTGGACT